GGGGATGGAAAAAAGGAACGGGGGAGAGGGAGAGGGGATAGAGAGAGGGGACAGGGACCTGGGAATGAGGAGAGGGAGAGGGGACAGGGACCTGGGGAGAGGGGACAGGGGACAAAGAGAGGGGACAGGGACCTGGGAAGGGGATGGAGGAGAGAGGACAGGGATCTGGGGAAGGGGACGGGGACCTGGAGAGAGGGGAGAAGGAATGGGAAGAGGGATCTGGGCTGGGAGAGAAGGGGAAGGGGATGGGAAAAAGGAACAGGGGAGAGGGAGAGGGGACAGGGACCTGGGGAGAAGGGAGAGGGGACAGAGAGAGGGGATGGGGATCTGGGAAGAGGGGATGGGGGGCCTGGGGAGAAGGGAGAGGGGACAAAGAGAGGGGTATGGGGACCTGGGAAAGGGGATGGGGGAGAGGGGACAGGGATCTGGGGAGAGGGAAGAGAGGGGACAGAGAGAGGGGACAGGGACCTGGGGAGACAAGATGGGGGGCCTGGGGAGAGAGGAGAGGGGACAGGGACCTGGGAAGGGGACGGGGACCTGGAGAGAGGGGAGAAGGAACGGAAAGAGGAACCTGGGAAAGGGGAGAGGGGACAGGGATTTGGGTGAGGGGATGGGGGGCCTGGGGAGAGGGGACAGGGGACAGAGAGAGGACAGGGACCTGGGGAAGGGGAGAGGGGACGGAGAGGGGACAGGGACCTGGGGAAGGGGATGGGGGACAGAGAGAGGGGACAGGAATCTGGGGAGAGGGGATGGGGGGCCTGGAGAGAGGAGAAGAGACAGAGAGAGGGGACAGGGACTTGGAAGGAGGGAGAGAGGGGACAGGGATCTGGGGAGAGGAACTGGGGACAAGAGAGAGGGGAGAGAGGAGAGGGGACAGGGATGAGGGGAGAGGGGACAAAGAGAGGGGACAGGGACCTGAGAAAGGGAGAAGGAGAGGGGACAGGGATCTGGGGAGAGGGAAGAGAGGAGAGGGGACAGAGAGAGGGGACAGGGACCTGGGGAAGGGGATGGGGGACAGAGAGAGGGAACAGGGACCTGGGGAAGGGGATGGGGGAGAAGGGACAGGGACTTGGAAAGGGGAGAGGGAGAGGGGACAGGGATTTGGGGAGAGGGAAGAGAGGAGAGGGGACAAAGAGAGGGGTCAGGGACCTGGAGAGAGGGAAGAAGGAACAGAAAGAGGGACCTGGGCTGGGAGAAAAGGGGAAAGGGATAAGAAAAAGGAACTGGGGAGAGGGACCCAGGTGCTGGGGGGTGGCTGATGGAGGTGCCATGTGTGTGTGTGTCCCCCCCCCTCAACCAGAACACGATGACCGCGTGGGCGGGCGAAGCTTTTCGGGGCGCAGGAAGAAAGGCCGCGGCCCGTTCCGGGGGAAGATGTACAGCGAGATGAACCATCGCTCCCGCAGCCGCGGCGGCCCCGGCCTTCGCGCCCGCCTGGAGGAAGATGATGGCGACGTCCCCATGAGCGAGGCCCACGACGGGCCCCGCAACCGATAGTGAGTGGGTTTGGGGGAGATGTTGAGTTCTTCAGGGAGATGTTGGGGTCCCCAGGGGAGGGAGAGGGGACAGGGACCTGGGGAAGGGGACAGGGACCTGGGGAAGGGGACAGGGACCTGGGGAAGGGGACAGGGACCTGGGGAAGGGGACAGGGACCTGGGGAAGGGGACAGGGACCTGGGGAAGGGGACAGGGACCTGGGGAAGGGGACAGGGACCTGGGGAAGGGGACAGGGACCTGGGGAAGGGGACAGGGACCTGGGGAAGGGGACAGGGACCTGGGGAAGGGGACAGGGACCTGGGGAAGGGGACAGGGACCTGGGGAAGGGGACAGGGACCTGGGGAAGGGGACAGGGACCTGGGGAAGGGGACAGGGACCTGGGGAAGGGGACAGGGACCTGGGGAAGGGGACAGGGACCTGGGGAAGGGGACAGGGACCTGGGGAAGGGGACAGGGACCTGGGGAAGGGGACAGGGACCTGGGGAAGGGGACAGGGACCTGGGGAAGGGGACAGGGACCTGGGGAAGGGGACAGGGACCTGGGGAAGGGGACAGGGACCTGGGGAAGGGGACAGGGACCTGGGGAAGGGGACAGGGACCTGGGGAAGGGGACAGGGACCTGGGGAAGGGGACAGGGACCTGGGGAAGGGGACAGGGACCTGGGGAAGGGGACAGGGACCTGGGGAAGGGGACAGGGACCTGGGAAGGGGATGGGGGGGAGAGGACAGGGATCTGGGGAAGGGGACGGGGACCTGGAGAGAGGGGAGAAGGAATGGGAAGAGGGGGAGAGGGGACAGGGATTTGGGGAGAGGGAAGAGAGGAGAGGGGACAAAGAGAGGGGTCAGGGACCTGGAGAGAGGGAAGAAGGAACAGAAAGAGGGACCTGGGCTGGGAGAAAAGGGGAAAGGGATAAGAAAAAGGAACTGGGGAGAGGGACCCAGGTGCTGGGGGGTGGCTGATGGAGGTGCCATGTGTGTGTGTGTCCCCCCCCCTCAACCAGAACACGATGACCGCGTGGGCGGGCGAAGCTTTTCGGGGCGCAGGAAGAAAGGCCGCGGCCCGTTCCGGGGGAAGATGTACAGCGAGATGAACCATCGCTCCCGCAGCCGCGGCGGCCCCGGCCTTCGCGCCCGCCTGGAGGAAGATGATGGCGACGTCCCCATGAGCGAGGCCCACGACGGGCCCCGCAACCGATAGTGAGTGGGTTTGGGGGAGATGTTGAGTTCTTCAGGGAGATGTTGGGGTCCCCAGGGGAGGGGAGAAGGGGATCCCTGGGGGCACGTTGAGGTCTCCAAGGACAGGTTGATGTCCCCAGGACAGGTTGGGGTCCCCAAGGTGGGGACAAGGGGGTCCTGGGGATACCTTGAGGTCCCCAGGGGTAGGTTGGGTTCCTCAGGGAGATGTTGAGTTCTTCAAGGAGATGTTGGGGTCCCCAGGGGAGGGGACAAGATGGTCCCAGGGGACATGTTGAGGTCCCTAAGAGCAGGTTGATGTCCCCAAGGTGGTCCCCAAGGGCAGGTTGGGTTCCCCAGGGAGATGTTGAGTTCCTCGGGGAGATGTTGGGGTCCCCAGGGGAGGGGACAAGGGGATCCCGGGGGATTCCCAGGGAGATGTTGGGGTCCCCAAGGTGGGGAGAAGGGGGTCCTGGGGATACATTGAGGTCCCCAAGGGCGGGTTGGGTTCCTCAGGGAGATGTTGGGTTCCTCAGGGAGATGTTGAGTTCCTCAGGGAGAGGTTGGGGTCCCCAGGGGAGGGGAGAAGGGGGTCCCTGGGGACATGTTGATGTCCCCAAGGACAGGTTGAGGTCCCCAGGACAGGTTGGGGTCCCCAAGGTGGGGACAAGATGGTCCCTGGGGGCACGTTGAGGTCCCCAAGGGCAGGATGGGTTCCCCAGGGAGATGTTGGGTCCCCAGGGAGATGTTGAGTTCTTCAAGGAGATGTTGGGGTCCCCAGGGGAGGGGACAAGGGGGTTGGTTCCTGGTGGCACGTTGAGGTCCCCACGGCCCAGTTGGGGTTCCCAGGGAGATGTTGGGGTCCCCAAGGTGGGGACAAGGGGGTTCCTGAGGGCACATTGAGGTCCCCAAGGGCAGGTTGGGTTCCTCAGGGAGATGTTGGGGTCCCCAGGGGAGGGGACAAGGGGGTTGGTTCCTGGTGGCACGTTGAGGTCCCCACGGCCCAGTTGGGGTTCCCAGGGAGATGTTGGGGTCCCCAAGGTGGGGACAAGGGGGTCCTGGGGATATGTTGAGGTCCCCAAGGGCAGGTTGGGTTCCTCAGGGAGATGTTGGGGTCCCCAGGGGAGGGGACAAGATGGTCCCAGGGGACACGTTGAGATCCCCACGGCCCAGTTGGGGTTCCTCAGGGAGATGTTGGGTTCCTCAGGGAGATGTTGAGTTCTTCAGGGAGATGTTGGTGTCCCCAGGGGAGGGGACAAGGTGATCCCTGGTGACACTTTGAGGTCCCTATGGACCAGTTGAGATCCTCAGGGAGATGTTGGGGTCTCCAGGGGAGGGGACAAGGGGACAAAGAGGTCCATGGGGCGCTCTCCATCCCGGTTCTCCCCAGTTTGCCCTACGGGCCGCGACCCAACCGCTCGACCAACATCCACATCACGGTGAGGAGAGACGTCCCCACCCCGGAGCGAAGCGGCGGCACCAGTCGCGAGGGGGGGCGGCGGAACTGGTTCAAGATCACCGTGAGTAGGGGGGGGGACACCCCCTTCCCCCCTTTCCCTTCCCCCTTTTCTATTTTCCCTTCTCTTTTTCACTCTTTTTTCTGCTTTTTTTTCTTTCCCTTCCCGTTTCCTTCCTTTCGCTTCTTTTTTTTCCTTTTTTCGTTTCTTTTCTCCTCTTTTTCCTTTGTTCTCTTCTTTCTCTCCTCCCCCTTTTTTTTCCTCCCCCTTTTTTTTCCTCTCTCCCCTTTTTCTTCCTCTCTCCCCTTTTTCTTCCTCTCTCCCCTTTTTCTTCCTCTCTCCCCTTTTTCTTCCTCTCTCCCCTTTTTCTTCCTCTCTCCCCTTTTTCTTCCTCTCTCCCCTTTTTCTTCCTCTCTCCCCTTTTTCTTCCTCTCTCCCCTTTTTCTTCCTCTCTCCCCTTTTTCTTCCTCTCTCCCCTTTTTCTTCCTCTCTCCCCTTTTTCCTCTTCTCTCC